CGGAGGTCGAAGCCGGGAGGGCAACCAATGACTAAGACCGAGGTAACGGGTGGAACGGGTGTCACCGGTTGCATAATCTTCTCGGCGTCATCCATCGTAAATAAAGGCTTGGAGGATCTCCGCACAGAGGTTGATCCTCCATCAGAGTTTGGATTCATTAGGAACTATCAACAGAGCGTTGGCTATCGCGAAATTTATGAAGTACCAAATAATTTTAATTTCTTCCTTAATCCGTGACTAAAATTCCGTATACGAGGTTTGAATTTTCTTAGTTAGATTTCAATAAGTCCAATTTTAATGGGAAATCAATTTTTGTGTGGGAACCTTTCTTAACTTTTTGTTCCAAAAAAAAAAAAAATTCTCCATTGTCAGTGCTCAATCAAAAATTTACGATTAAAAGGATCGCATATGTCGATTATGCATTTTCTGTACTAATACGAATATTAACTTTTTTCAAAATGACGGATGGTCATCATTATAGCACAAAATTTACTGTGATTTTGTTCCGCTTTCGCGAAGATTCTGTAAAATTTTGTTGAGAGAATTTTCTAGGAATGTTCTTAAAAATAAATTAAGACCAAAAATTTTAAGGCACTTGGTCTGCATTATCAATGATAATGATAAGTAACTACTATTTCTTAAAGCATCCATCTGTATGAGGAAACTAATAGCCCATACGTTAGTACATACGCTAGCTAGAAAAGGAGTTAAGCCTTTTTTGCGCAATACATGCAGTTCTATCAAAATCCGTATCACCATCCTTCTACCTCAAGTTTGAGGATTTCGTTACTCACCAAAAGCTTTCCACCAACCTTATGGTTTTTCAGGCCAATCATCATCATCAACACTGCACCTAGAATTTTCTTGCGTTACCAGCATATATAAGAGGGAATCTAAAATGATCGTTTGTGTAGCGGCAAAACAATAGATGGAAGAAAATATGTTTTTCGAAAATGTCATGTCATATTTCTTTTGCAATCTTTCAACAAGGCGTCGCGCTGGGCCGTCGGGGTTACCAATTCAGAGTTTAATCAGTCTTGCATCTTGTTCAACGGTTTATTGCGGGGCTTTAACAACCATGCCAACGTCTTTTGTTGAATAATTCACAAGCCCGAGTTTTGAATAATCTAACCTACCTAAGATAGAGCACTTTCTATTCCATTTTCTTATTCACGCACGATTATGAATTTGCTGGCTTACCGGAGATAACCCAGCCTTTTATCGAATAGAAATTTATTACCCCAGGTGCGCTGATGAAGTCAGCGCTTTGGCCGGAGGGTAGCATCAGCGCCGATCTCTCTTCGTCAAATTTGAGGGTATGAATTATATCTCCCCTGGACCTTTATCGTGTATAAAGTATGGCAAATTACCATGTTTTTAAATACAAATTTAAGACTTGTTAACTTAACTTTCCAAACTGAACTCTAGTGCTGAATGTTGCTCGCACATTTTAAAGTTTTTGCTTATTCTTAAAAGATTCAGACAGGGTCTTGGTAAAATTATCAACTGCGACATGAAAAATGTTGATATCGATTTATTGATGATGAGTCTTTGGAACTATGTATCTCGGTTTGGGTCGTTGAAGGATTTTGGCCAAATTTGATTTATTTGAATAACTGAAGTGATCACCGCCATCGTTCAAATTTCAGTGCGATTATTCTTAGTTTTTTTTTTTTTTTTTTTTTTTTTTTTTTTTTTTTTTTTTTTTATTTTTTATTTTTATTTTTCAAGAATATTTCACCACGTATTGTAAAATAATTGCCACGAATTCCCTTCAACATCTTTTTATTAGCAGCAATGGAATACCCATCGTATGCTTTGGCTGCTTTTAAATGAACGCGGTGAGAAAGTAGGGGAAATTATTCCCAGAGACTCACGTTTAGCGCGCCTTCAACATCACGAGATACTCTACGCATCACCGCGAAGTTAGTTTAGTTGCTGAACCCAACCAAGCCTATCTTAGCTTAGCTCTCTGTTGACTCAGGGTGTATTGTATAGAGCGGCAAGCTTATCAAATTTAACTTCCAACGGCTTTTTTCCTGAGAAATTATTCGATATTTCACGCTTCGATTTTTTCTCGATAAATTATTCAACCATCTACGCAACAAGGAAGTTATTGCAACCGTTGAGTGACGGAAAATGACAATGTAATTGCAACCTTTTGTCGTATGGCTAATGAAGGGTCTCCGCCAGTGGCGTGGCGTGAATTGCGATGTAGCGATTGTTCTGCCATTTAAACCTATGGTAAAGAATCGATTATTAAGGTGTTCGCTGCGAACACCTTTTTTATCGATCCTTTTCCATAAGTTTAAATGCCCAAACAATCGATATATCGCAAAACACGCCACGCCACTGGTCTCCGCCCGTGACCATCCACGCGGAAGGTAAAAAGATCTAAAAGCCGAGGCAAAATATGCCGGATTTCACCAGAATCAACTTAACAGCATTGTACATATCTCAAGACATATCACAATGAGTGAATAATAAACATATTCCGTTCTGAAAAGGGAGGAGTCGCTATGGAAAGAGGTTTTATATTTTCCAAAAATCGGGGTGGCTCTCCACCTTTTGATCGATGCGTACACAGAGAGTATATACTTTACTTCAGAATGTACTTCCCTTTTAGCAGCATTCGGAATTTCTTTAACAAAAGGTGCGACTCCGAACCCGGCTCCGGCCAATGGCACCTGCACAACAAGCGATAAATCGATTGACTTTGTTAATGAAAATATGCGAAGGGGAGTTGGGTAAAACAAAAAGGTACCGTTTCGAAGCTGCTTTAGCGGGAGAGGAGTTCCCTCAGGGATGCGGTTATTTATGCTGCAGCGCAGCGTCTCGCACAAACATCGGTCGATCAGGGTCGCCGGCTTTCACCGAAATCTTTAGAATAAAATACCTGCAAATCTATGACCGGGGGTTTAAATGGGCAGCGGTGTAAACCATGTAATTAGCATTGATTAAACGTGCACCAATCTCAGTTGAACCGTTTATTTACAAAAAGCCCCCCGCGCCGAAACTTCGAAAGCCTTTGTTGCCTTTATTTATCATGACTTCCGAGGCTCAGAAGCTTTTGGCGCTTAGGTTTTTCCTTGAATAAACGGTTCGGTTGGGTTCGGTTCATTGCTGTAGCGCGACTAACGCCCGGTAAGACGTAAAGTATCGTGGAAAAATGAAGGGGCACTGAATCGAGCGTGCTCATATTCTATTGACTGAGGTGAACTTTTATGATACTCGGGGGCCCATCTCATCTAGGTTTGGTTCTCTGAGGAAACGAAATGAACGCCTTTTTAGGTCTTAAAGTATAGCGGAAGTACACCCTGCGTACTCAGTTTTTAATTCAAGGAAAGCTCATGAGTAGAGTTAGACGCTGATAGGATATGAATAGCGTTAGATAAAAAAGGGAGTCACAAAAAACTGATGGATACCATTCTCACAAATGTTCCAGCCATCCTTATTCGAATACGCCACCTCTCCCCTAATGATGATTTTTAAGAAACTTGTTTATCATAAAATCAAATTAAATTTGCCAAATGATGACTAAGGGATGTCGAGATAAGCAGTTTCCAAGGCGAGTTTTTGCAAAGTAGGGAAGAATTGCTGGATTGCTAAACTAGTTGTTCAACGTATGGCCCACGCCAACCCGCTTGATTAAGACCTTGATAAATACCATGGTGCTTTCTCACGATTTGAGTGCGGAAGCGTCAGCTATGTTGGATATTGTGCAGCATTCTTGAGAGCAAGGATTGAATGGAACGACTCCTCATAGATACGGAATGTTCGCACCTAAGCCTTAGTATCGATTTTGAAGCGGGAAGCTCAAAAAAACGCTTGTTTCTTATGAAGTCAGGTTCTCGACGTTCCCAATTCCATCATCGTGATTTTTAGTCGTTTTCTGTTTTAAAAAAAAAAAACTCCACTTATTGCTCTAGCTGAAGTTTACAACAAGCCCATCATATGGTTGTTTTCAATTCGCCTTCAGCTGCGTCTGCAGCAATTGTTGTTACGAATATGTTGTGCGTGCTAATTTTAGTTCATTACATACCCGCCTCCCTGAAGGCGTTTTATGGGCGCAAGTAGCGCACTCTATCAGAGAACGAACGAAGTAGGGATTGAGCAATTTATCCAATCTCTACTTCTGTTATTTTCCTACAGGGTGCGCCACTTGCGCAAATAAAACGCCTTCAGAGAGTCATGTATGTAAGTGGCTGAAATCAGCACAAACAGCTTATTCGTAACAAAAATTGCTGCAGATGCAACTGAAGGTGCATTGCTCGCGCACATCAGACGCTTTCAGAGAGTCGTGTATGTAATAAGCTGGAATCAGCAAGCGCAACACAGACACAATATAGAGCAAAAATAAGATTCCTCTCAATCCTTTTTTAAGCCCATTCTGCCGTGCTTAGGAAGAACGCCGTATGAACATTCGAGAATTGCCAAATTTCCCTTGCTAAAGCATGTATTTTTGACAACATTCACGCACATGCTTTCTCGAAATCTTCAGATATCTTAGATTAAATTGCGTTCAAAATAGTACGAAAATTTCGGGGGAAAATATTCACAATTTTCCCAGTAAATTCTGTTTTTATCGAGGGAAACTTGGCACCGTCTGAAGGCTCATACGGCGTTCTTCTTACACGGAGAAAAAATCTTCGTGCGTTGGACCCGAAGTTGAGGTCATATGGATCTCCGAAGTTTTCGGATCACGTATCTAAAAACTTGAGGTCCAGCTGCCGAAGTTCGGGTCAGACATCTGAAGTACTCCGGTACATACCGAAGTGCCTCGATGTCTGACCCGAACTTCCGCAGTTGGACCTCAAGTTTTTAGGTACGTGATCCGAAAACTTCATAGATCCTTATTCCTTATGACTTCAACTTCGGGTCCCACGCACGAAGTTTTTTTCTCCGTGTAGCACGGCAGCATTGTTGATTTAATTAATCTTGCAATAAATCTGAATTTACCGTATTTCTAACCGGTGATGTTTTTTTTTTATGTTGGGCAGGATACGTTTTGGAACCGGCGCTGCACATGAGCCACAACTACTGGGAGAGCACGTTCTCGCAGCCGTACTTCGACAACTCGACCCGGAGAGAGATGACCACGACCGTCGGCCAAACCGCATACCTCCACTGCAGAGTGCGCAACCTGGGAGACCGAGCTGTAAGTACCCGTTTCGCCCTCTCCGCTCCCCTCCCGCCCTCTCCTCTCCCCTCCCGCCCTGTTAATTAGCCACGATTCCTTTGCAGACATTCTTCCTCCTCCCAAATTGCCCCTCGTTGCCACCTAGGATCCGTAACGACCTCCGAGGAAAAATGGGATCGTCCACCGAAAGGGAAACGTCAGACCACAAGAGGATTGCATTTTGCAAAAAGGAACCACTAGCATTGCAATGATGCTAAGATTGTGCAACTTCATCTTTTGCAATAAAATTGCAGAAATCGTGAAAAACTATGAAATTTGGATGGTAATGTCTGTCTTAAATTTACAGTTTTTAGCGAGTAAAATAGAAACTATGAATGGATAATTGGGGTTTTCCTCCAAGACAAAAGAAGTTGCACAATCTTAGCGATATTGCAATGCTAGTGGTTCCTTTTTGCAAAATGCAATCCAAGATTAAAATGGAGAATGAAAAACAACCTAATCAGCCAAAATTCACATAATAAAATAACAACTTAATTTGGGGAAAAGGCCGCAAAAAAAACAACAAAGGATAAAAAAAACCCGGAACGTTTCAAAATATTAACCATTTCATTTCCAACCGGAAAAAAAATAGAAATGAGCCGTCGATTCGCTGTTATTCCATAATACGAACACACATAAAACCGCGAATCGACGGCTCAAATTTTTATTTTTTTCCGGTTGAAAATGAAACTGATAATATTTTGAAACGTTTCGGGTTTTTTTTGTCCTTTGTTGTTGTTTTGCAGCTTTTTCCCCAAATTAAGTTGTTACTTTATTAAAATGGAGAATTTGCATACACGTTTTTATATTGCTTCATCTGAAAAAGCTTACAGAGCTGATTCCACGGTATTTTTATCATTTTTTCTGATATGGGAAACGGTATAAAAATATATTAAAAAGTAAGAAAATGCATGGCCTAGTGATATCATCTGGCGGCATTTCCCATTTAAACACATGCATTTTAGCAGATTAGATAATTTTGTCATATCTTCTCCAATAATAATTGTTCAATTCATGAACCAAGGATATTCTCGTGTTCAGTTCACTCAGTGGTTTCCACTTAAACACGAAATTCATCAAATTTCAGACACCTGCAATTTCTCTGTTGAGTTAAAGGCACCACAGTATAGAGGAGAGTTTTACCAACATTTTGGAACAAAGAACGCCCAAAATGAAAGAACGTAGAATCTGTTGCACACATGAGATACAGTCAAGTTATGAGACTTTTACAGGGAAAGTCGAATGGAAATCACGTCGGGCAAATCAAAAAAGTCTGAAGTTTACTCCTCAGCACGAAAGCTGCGTGGTTTGAGACACGCTTTTTTCAAGTTTACCGCATCTGCGGACAGTTATACTCAGTCAGGTTTTTCCTCGAAAGGGACTCAAGAAAACCAAACGTAAGTTAACAAAGTATCTCGCGAACTGTTTAAAACTTTCCTTACGTAAGATATCAATCGATTCAAATCTTTTGTTCTTGCAATAAAGAGGTTTTCTTACTCCTCTATCTGTGCAAATCTGAGCAGGCCGATTATTGACATTTGGTGATGGTCGGGAGGACACACATGACAAAAATGATATGGCGTAGAGTGATTGGTCGGCAATTTCTTTGAGGGCTAAGGAACAATAACGCTCCCTGACTATTTTGGCGAAAATGAGTTTGCAACTTTGCCGCAGTCTACGGTATAAAATACGCAGGCTGACGTTTTTAGTTTTTTCCAATTTCACATGGGGACGTTGCGCTGACGCTTGAATGTATAAAAAAATTGCTATATGTATAACCTAAGTTCAAAATTACAAAAATTGGCGAATTTTTTCTTCGTCCTACAAAATCGTCAGTTTGCAGGTAAGCTCCTTAGTCATAGGCGGATCCAGACACTTTGAACTGGGGGACTGTGGGACGGAGGGAGGTCCGTAGGGCTGTCCCCAGATAATGTTCAGAATTTTAAAGCATCTGACGTACAGTCTAAGTCAATTTTGTTATGAATAATTACCAAATATTACCGTATTTCGTTCTTCTTTCCTCCGTTCCCCCCTTCTTCCTCTCTTCCCTTCTTTCTCTCTTCCCTTTTCTACCTCCTTTTTTCGGGCGAGATGGGGGCAGGGCGTACACCCCATACGCCTTCCCCTCCCCCCCTTCGACCCACCTCTGTCAAGGGTGGCAAAATCTCGTGAAAAATAAAATCTTGCAATTTCACGTGAAATATTTCATGAAATTTCAGAAATTCGTTAATGCTACCGAAAAATAGCGATTCCCTTTTATGTTTCGCAAATTTAAAAATTGTGTCTTTCCTCTATTTTTGTGTGTTTGAGTACGGGTTGCATACTCTAGCCCCTGAGAAATATGAAATATTTCACAGCCTACACTGGAAAAAAAAAACATATTGGATCTAGAGTCCAGACTCTTAAAAACAACGACAAGAAAAAGTACTCTTGATTCAATCAGAATCTAGCTTAAATTAAGAACCAAGCCTCTTAATTTAAGCGGATTTCGTTTTGATTCAAGCAAAAATCCAATTGAATCAAGAGTATTTTATATTGTCAATGTTTTCAAGAGTCTGGACTCTAGCATGAAGTATTTCACTGAAATTTCCAAATTTTCGATTTCTTCCTTACGTTTCATGCCACCCTGCTTCTGTCCTTGGTCCTATGCTCGTTTCATAACGTTTCATTCCAGCGTAGGAAAGCGAAATAAACAGAAAGCCTAAAACGGGATACGGCAACGCGGGTATCACATTACAGCCGTTGGAATTGAAGAAGATGAAACATTTAAAGGTCTCCTCCTCGCTGATCCTGGTGTTTGCGCAACTTGGCTCTAATCTCCTTTTTGTTCTTGACAGAGCCGCACAGCGGCGGGCGGGGGGCCGGGCGGCGCGGAGCCTCCAATCTTGGCGCGGAATCCGCGGGTTTCCCCGCCGCCGCGAGCCGCCCCCGGGCCAAGAGCGGCGCCGTCCCCTGCAGTCTTGTACGACATTCCGCCGGGGGCTCATTAACGCGGCTCAGCCCGCTGTCCGGCTTAATTATTTTAATAAAACACTTAATTGAACTCCAGATTATGCTTATGTTCGTCTCGAAGCTCGCGCCCAAGGACGCCTCTCGCCGCTTGAGTGACAGTGGATGTTCGCGCAAAGCCGCCCGGGTCCCCGGTAAATTGAAACGGGCCTGTTATGAACTCCCTTCCAGGGGCCGCGATTATTTCTGTCGCCCTCGAAATTAATACCGGCCGAGGGATTGTGGGGTGGGAGGAGGTATTGAGTCTAAAAAATGAGCCTAATTAACCCGAGGTGTTGTTTGTTTCTTTCGATCCTTCCTGTCGTTTAGACTTGTTTGAGGTAGAGTACCTTTATAGACAGAGTATGGCCATTCGTATCTTTTTACTGCAGGAAAACTGTTCCGCTTTTTGATTGGTCAACGAGTTTTTAGGCTTCATGATGCTCTTAGGGCCGTAAATAAACAAACAAGATTGCGACTCACCGTAACATCGATAAGAAGCTAAATCTGACAAAAATTTCAATTATACGGCAGTAACAATTTAAACTAGCATATCTACGAATAACACACGAAAAACATATGAAAACATTGTTAAATCGCCTTTCACCTTTATCAGTTATCACAGGAGGATGTAAGATGTGTATAACCTCAATCTTGCTTGCTGATAACAGCCATCTTGTTTGTTCATTTACGGCCGTAAGAACACCGTGCCCGTGTCAGCCTATTTTCACGTGACCAAAGAAAAACCGGAACAGAAATGGCCATATTCTGTATGTAAAGGTACTCTAGTGGATCTTCAACGGTGCGTAGTGAGGAATTTTTCCACGCAGGGAGCGCCACCGCTGTGTTTTGATTTTTTGGTTCACGCTGTGAGAGTCCGCACGGTTCCACGTGAGCTTTATCATGAAAATGAAAGGAGTCTTTGTTGAAATCGAAAAGTGGTTCCGGCCTTAACGTTCTCCTTCGTATTGACACTAAAAAGGACAGGAAAGTAATTTCTGAAGCCCTGTATCTTGATCCCAGAAAAAAATAGGGTTGAGAAAAATGACCTGGATGCGACCAATTACGAGAGATCTCTCTCAGAAGTTGCAGACAGGGCCGGATTTAGGAGGTGGCCACATGGGCCGCGGTCCATGGCGGCAAATTTAGGGGGCGGCAAATTTTGGACTTTTTTAAATGTAGGTATAAAAAAAATCGGATTCAGAAAAAAAATTGCAAACGAGAAAAGGCGACAAAAACTCTCATTTCCTGAGAGTATAATAATTTCTAATTTTGTCGTCTTTCGGTGATACAAGAGACATCATCTTTAATTAGTCGAGTTGAGAGAGAAACCAAACACGCAATTCGGCCTGAAATGGCGCGGTGCAGAGAGCAATGATGACGAGAACTTGAGATGAAAAGGAGAAGCCCTCGGCGCGGCGGTTGGCATGAAACACATATTAGCGCCTACAAAACTGCATGAACACTCCCTGCATTACGTCAAACACAGTGCGGCCAGCAGCGGTCGGCGAGAAACGCATAGCGCCTGCAAGACTGTAGGAATACTTCACGCATTGCGCAAAAACACAGTTCGGTCAGCGAGGTACGGTGGAAGTTAAAATTATTAAACCATATTTTTGTTTGTTCTTTCATAATTTTTTCGTTCATTTCTAATAAACCTAACTTTCGCGCAAAGTTCCATTAACTTTTGCTAGTAGTATTGACAGGGCTTTCGCAAAAAGTGTGTCCAACACGAGTAAACGCGTCTTATGCACCCCTCCCCCTCCGTCACGTTCACTTGATGGTTTTTATTGATGTTTCAAAACGAATGAGAAGGGGGCGGCAAAATACAGGCGGCTCATGGGCGGCAAGTAGGTAAATCCGGCCCTGGTTGCAGATATCTCTTTCCCCGCCGTGAACTATCTCTCTTGCTAGAGTCAAGACAGTGTCTTTGTCATAATGGAGATAAATATTCTACAATTTGAATAAGTCCACATAATAAGAAAAATCAA